ATGATACCCCGAGTAAGCATCCAAGAGGCTTAACCTCTCATTCCCTGAGGCGGCCTCTACCAGCTTGTCTATGCTCGGCATGGGATGACAGTCTTTAGGGCAGGCGTCGTTGAGGTTGGTATAATCAATGCACATGCGCCACTTCCCGTTTGACTTTTTTACCATGACAGGGTTGGCAATCCATTCGCAGTAATCTACTCTCCTGATAAACCCTGCTTGCAAGAGGTTCTGCACCTCTTCCTTAATGGCCGTGAGTCTTTCCCCCCCGAAAAGCCGTCTCTTTTGTGCTACTGGCTTCCTCAAAGGATTAGTGCTGAGTTTGTGTACTGCCACCGAAGTTGGGATTCTAGGCATGTCAGCCGAGGTCCATGCAAACACATCCTTGTTTGCTTTTAGGAAGCCCACAAGTTCTTCTTTTTCTGTGGGAGTTAGCTTCGTGCCGATCTGAGTCTTCTTGGATGGGTCATTATCATCAAGTTGCACCTCTTCGACCTCCTCGACCGGGGTGGCTCTCGGGTCATCCTCTGGTCTGTTATCTGGCAGCTCTACACCCATTACCTGTTGGGTATTTGGGGCCTCTGGTTGGGGTGCCTCTGGTGATGGGGCTACTTCCTTATTTCTTCGTGACCTCGCGACGGAGGTCATGTAGCAGTGCCTAGCCGCCTCTTGGTTGCCTCGTAAGGTTGCTATCCCCATCGGGGTAGGGAATTTCATGCAGAGGTGGGGCGGGGACACTATAGCCCGAATCTCAGTCAAAGTCGGCCTCCCGATGACGAGGTTGAAAGATGAAGGCATCCTCACTACCAGGAATCTGACTGAGGGTGTGACGTACGTCCGTCCGGAGCCGAACGCCACATTGAGTCGTAGCATTCCTTCCACAGGTACCGGCTGATTGTTGAACCCGTAAATGGGCCCGTCATACTTTTGTAGGAGAGCCGGGTCGAGTCCGAGGCTCTCAAAGCAATGGTAATACATTATATCTGGAGCACTGCCGGTATCGATGAGCGCTCGCTGAACCTCGCAGTTGTTGATGATGACCGAGGTGACTAATGGGTCGTTATGGGGCATGACAACCCCCTCGAAGTCAGCCGAAGTGAATGTCACAGACTGATTTTTCCAATCCTCCTCGTCAATCTTTCTTTTCTGAGCTGTGTTGTGGTGTTTAACCTCCCTCACGTACAGCTTTTGCTGCTTGGAGCTTGTGCCTCCTGCTTCGGGCCCACCAGTTATCATGTGAATGACTCTAGATGGGGGTGGCAGAGGTGGCGGTGCTTGTTGGTACCCTACCCCATCTCTGCTATTTGGTGCTCGGGACCCCTGGGCTTGTCCCTGTTCTTTGACAAACTTTGGCAAATTTCTGTTCTAGATGTACTCATTCAACATCCCTTTCCGGGCCAAACTTTCCAGCTCGGACTTCAAACTTTTGCACTCTTCCGTGGTATGTCCATGGTCTTGATGAAAGTCACAGTATCTGGTGTGGTCTCTGCTTGCCGCTGGGCTTTGTATGGGGTTTGGTCTCCTCATCTCCATCTTATTCTTAATTTGCATGAGAATTTGCGACCTCGGAATTGTGAAGGAGGTCCATGAGGGCGGCGCAGGCCGCATTTGCGGGGTGCTGGAGCTGGGCCTATCTAGCTTAGGAACCGGAATTGGGCCTCGGTTCTGTGTGGGTTTGAACTTCTTCCTGCTCTGGCTTTCATCTCTCCAGGTGGGGGTTCTAGCTTCTTTGGGGGGCTGGGGTTTAGAGAGGACGTACTCCTCGGCCTTAATGAATTTGAGGGATCTCTGGTTGACTTCGTCAAAAGTGGTTGGGGTGTTCTTGATCAAGTTATCTCGAAACCGATCATGGTTGAGGCCTTGTATCACAGCAGTTACTCCCACTGCTTCATCGAAGGCATTGACCTCCAGCATGGCGTCATTGAACCTGTTCATGTAGTTCTTCAAAGATTCGCCTTCTCTTTGTGTTATGCGCATGAGCTCGGGTGTCGTCTTTTTGATCAACCTTCTGCTTGAGAATTTGGTGGCAAAGGAGGTGGCTAGCTCGGCATACGCATTAATCGAGTTCGGACGTAGGGTGTAGTACCAGGTCCGGGCATTGCCGCGCAATGTGGAAGGGAACATTTTGCACATAAGTGCGTCTGAGGCGTTTTGGGCCTGCATGATGGAGAAAAATGCATGTAGATGGTCATCAGGATCTTTAGTGCCGTCATATGTTTCAAACTGCGGCATCCTGAAGCCGGGTGGATATGGCTCTTGGGTGATTTTGGTATTGAGGGGAGTGGGGATGGAGGTTGATATATGTGGAACCTGCGGTTGTGGATTTCTGTTCTCGGTTAACAGCTTTTCTAGGTTATTTAGCCTCTTTGAGACATCTGAGGCACCTGATTGAGGTGGGTTTTGTGGATGGGGTGGTATGTGAGACTGTGCTTGAGAAGCGGTCGGGGCGACACTGCGGACCGGGGAGTTAGCAGGCTGTTGAACTGGTTGGGGAGCCACGGGGGGGGCTGGGTTCAACAAGTGAATGAGTGGGTCAACGGGGTTATCTCTGGCTAACAGCTGAGCAAGTACTAGCTGGAAGACCCCGAATTGTTGTTGCATGGCATTGAGTTGAGCGGTCACAGGGTCGCTTGCTACAGCGT